AGCTCTTTTTGCATAGGTTACTTACATAAAGTCCACAAGTCTTCGCCGTTGATCAATCCCTTTGTGGGATGCGGCACGCATTCTACTTCCATTCAGAATCTAGTGGCTTACTGAATGCGATGTGGCCTATACAATGACTTGCGGTGGCCAGCCGATGTACAAGTCAGTGTTTTATCCTCCCAGACGAATCTGGTACCAATTCACCGTCCCCGGAGGGTAGAAGGCTTGGTTGGCCTGGGCGGGAGCCGATCCAGGATTTGATCCCTTCACTGTGCGCGTGGCAAGCGTGCAGCTTGCCACTACAACCTTCGCCTCCAAACTTACATATGCTTAATATATTATAAACTAGAAAAAGACCTCCAACTTGACAATGTTTCTTCAATATTTCTTCAATCTATAACCAAAAAACCCATGAGGTTAGCACCTGGAGAAGGGTGATGGTGGTGGTGGTGGTGGTGAGAGCAAAAGCACACTTCTTCTCGCGTTCAGTGATGGACATTTCTGCTGTCGAGGTAGTTCCCGCGACAGGACTGTCATGACGGCACCCAGGTTACCCTAATTCAGCCCTGTTTCTGCGCTTTTTTAAGTGGTGAATCTAGCACACAACTGCAGGAGAGGACCCATTCAGCGCAGGACCACATCCACAGAGGTGCATGTACAGTTTGTCCTCAAATTCGTCTTCACCTGCCTCCGTATATAGTTTCCAAATACCTTCACAAGCAGCTAGTTATGCCACCTGATGGATGTTTAGACGGTAATATGGGGACTCGTTTTCCACACCTGCTGTGAACCTCTCTGGACAAAGTTGTGGGCGTTTTCAAAGACCTCCATGTTGTCCTTTATTGCAACCTCGGCATAATGTGTATTGTTTAATTACTTCTGCCGAACGAGGCTGTTGGATGAAACTTTTTATTGCCCTATCGTTTCGACCTTCTCGTCTTCTTCAAAGGTCAAAGGTCCCATCGTGGGATGCCTAGCTCACGCTGTATGTCGGTGATGAGAAACCACGACTTTTTGTTCTTACTAATGTTACCGACAAATACCGCGAGCTACAAAAGCTTCAAAAGACCTGACTCTGGAAATTCTTGGGGAGGAGGAGGGGTGAGGGAGCATACCCACACTCAGAAATTTGCTTCGAATACGAGACAAAGTCCGCAAAATTAAAAATGCGATTTGAGGCCAAGCACAACGAAGGATATACCCACACTATCCCTCAAAAGACAGGGGCGGTTCTGAACCGGGCCAGGCCTTGGAGGGAGCAGTGATATGGCGTCATTGGCGAAGGTGAAAAAAGAGTGGCCTGCCTAGGCCTGAGATTTGCACTGAGTGCTGGTATGCTTCCGCAAAAAAAACCTCCGTAACTTTGCTCAAGAAGAATCGCAGCAGATTTGGAAGACGAATTCTTAATCATCGCCCGAAGGAACATCAGCGGCGTATATCTTAGTTCAAGAAGCCACTTCAACTGATTATCCATCTCTTAGAAGATTTATCCGTAGGTTTGTCAGTACCTTTTCCCTTTCGCTAATTAAATTCAATGAAAAGTCGAATAATAATTCCGAAAAAAATGCGCAGGAGGGCTAATCAAAAGATCAAAACGAGCACAATAAGCTGAACTGCTGCTGCCGCTGTTTTTGCATCACGAGCTCTCTTGTACGAATAGTCGCATTTCGCTGTCAAGTCCTCGTCAGCACAACATTAAATCCTTCGTTTTGAACTTTAAACGACTTATTCTTATCAGTTGTTTCATTTGTTAATTTAAATTTTATCTGACGCTTTTTCATTCGCCTGCGAAGAGAACTGGAAGGATTGACAATGTACCACTCACTCGACCTGGTCCAAGCAAATCCAAGTGGAATTGCAGCTTGTAGCTTGCATTATGTTCCAACTGCAACCATTCGTCATCAACACGAAGCTCTTTTGCATTCCTTGACAAACGAAGCCCGTATATGGAGAGAATAGGCCACCGGCATAATGCTCGGACTACCTGCAAGAGTTGAGAAACAAAATGCATACTGCGTATCTCAGTGTGTGCACATAAGCAATTCAGAAGCTCTTAAACAACAGGACAAAGGCAAACTGTACACTCACTTCCGTGCTCCTGGTCTTTGCCATGTACAGTCCTCATCATTGCAGACCGGTGGGGCGGGTGAGCCGCGCTGCGTGTGACTCGGCTGTGACAGCGATGACAGTCGCGTCACAGCCGAGTCACACGCGGCGCGGCTCACCCGCCCCACCGGTCTGCAATGATGAGCACCATATGTGGTGAATAGGTCCGCACGTGCCATACGTACCGATTTCTCCGCTGAACTGCATGGGAACGCGGCTGTAGGGTGGGAGTGATTCCCGAGTGAAGTCTCCCAACTCCGCCCGCACTAGCGCATGGCCAGGCACATGCCTACCACAGCTAAATGTGCTACCTGTCTGCGCTTTCACTTTCGATTGTTCCCTCTTACTGAGATCGTGTTTGCTGCGTGATTTCGGTATTGACGCCAGTTGCTGCACCTTCAGGATAAGTTCAATCAGATCTGAAAGACCGCACCCGGGTATCGCTACCTTCCAGCACACCTCCCAGTTCACAACTTCTCACTGAAAATTCGACCCTGGGAAAGGTACTGTAAAATACACACCTCCTTGATCTCAGTCTCTTCCAGTGTTGTATTGTCGAACAGTGTTTTCTTCGCCTGTTTTTCCACATCATCGGTGCCATGTGCGTTTTCGACCCCAAACTGATGTTGTAGTAACGGTATTGTAGCTCGCTCTCTAAAACTATCTTTTTAGATAAAAAATTGAAAAACCGTGATATTGAATCAAGATTAAACAGGTCGTGTGAAAAAAGATAATAGAAGAAAGACTTTGGGCTTCTTTCGAGCGTGAAGAGGATTTTCATGGACACCAAATTGGGCTGTGAGCTCAGATGTGATGGACTCAAACCAAGGAGCCGTGACAGACAATGAGTGACAAAGACACGCGACTGAGTGTGATGCGTGGAATGGGGAGATGAAAAAGACAATCGTGCAAAAGAAAAGACAAAAATGCCAGCGCATCTTGCGGCCGTGAGCGGCAAATTCTCGATTTGCAGGTTTGCCAATCGGAGCAGGAAACCTGTAAGAATACAAGCGGAGACACGACTTCATATTGAGTGATATAGATTTTTCCCTTCTCTTCACCCGTCAAAATTGGAGGGGAGCAGGACAGCTCGACTCCAACCTACACGGCGTCGCTCTCACGCCCAGCGCGGCATGATTGTCTTTTCACGTTCCCTGCACTGTCTCTGCTCATTTGGTGGTCATGTCGGCAGTCACAGGGTGTACCACTTACTTCACTCGTCGTAAGACGATTCAAGGCCTCATCTACTTTGGCTGACAGCGTTCGTGCTTGAAAGAAATCTTGCTTCCTTTGACTGCCTTTTTGAGAAGAAACAAGTGCAATCAGAAGTAATCCATTTCTCAAAGAAGGATGCACTTTTGCACCACTTCAACTGACTCATGGTGGAACTGCTTCGGTGCAACAGTTCGTCGGTTAACGTGACCCTACCTCGTATAAAGGGTCTTTGACACATTCCGGACCGCCGTTGTGGGAGGATCTCCGCATTATTTCGTTACCTTCCAAAACGATAATCAGTCATTTCATCTAATTCTTTCACTTTCCTATGAGAAATAGGTATGCGTCTACGTCTAAAAAACATGCTCTGACAGTTTTGGAGCATAAACAGTGTGCCAAATATACCATATGAAACGGCGCAGAGACGAAAATGCATGACACACCATGTGTGTCACGCAATCCGGAACGTGTTAAAATTCGGCATCGCAAGCTTCGCACGTCGAATGTCAAAAAAAATCTTGTTCTTGAGAAATAATCCGCAACTCTTACTGTTTCCATCTGGTTAATATGCATCCCCATAAGAGGTCACAGTACATGAAAATTTTTCAATTGCGTGACAGATGTGTTTTTGGGACGAGAAAATATGAGAACCACTGTGAAAGTCTTAACCATGTGAGTAAGGGCTGTCGGATCGCCGCTTTGGCCGGCCTATCCCTCGCGTGTTGTCAAGGTGTCCCCTCGTTTCACTGCGGTCTATATTCCCCATTCCGCTTCCGCGGCTTCTCGAACTGAGTTATAAAATTCGGACGTTATTCTGCGATTTACAGTACCGCCCGGCCGCGCCACTTGTGGGGTGCAAAGTTCCCCTTATTTTCATACGTCTTACTTAATTCCCTATTCTGTAGCGTAATAATTTTCCCTCACAACCGTTACTGAAACTAATACGAATTTTTGAATTCCCTGAGAAACGCCCCAGTGCCAATCACACGTGGGTAAGTTACTTCCCCCGCTTCCATGCCACTTTGCCAGTTATCATTGTACGCCTTTTTCCTTCTTAAGAATCTTTCTCAGAGTTGAATTTGTACAATCTCTGAAAGATTCGTTTAGGCAACACCGGCGCCTATAAGCACCTCTCATGTTCTGATTCCATGGTAAGCCACCCTCATTTGGTCCGCCAACTGGTTGATTCCCTATCATGTACCTTTTTCCGTTCTCGAAACTCTCCTGAAAGTAAGGTACGAGTTTTTGAAATGTAGCAAGCACCGTCCACCTATAGCACGCCCAGCTTCATTGGGGTGTGCCTCATTCAGTTCATCCGCCAAAGATATCCTATCGCTTTCCACTTTTTCCGCCCTCCGGGCTTATTTGAATTACGAACTTTTGAAATTTTTGTAGCAAGCCCCGTCCACCTATAGCCCAATTGGGATGTGCCTTCTTCACTTAATTCGCCAGCTGACTCCCTATCGTTTCCCACATTTTTCGCTCTCCGGGCTCATTTGGAACTGAATTACGAATTTTTGAAATTTTTGTAGCAAGCCCCGCCCATCTATAGCACCCCCGCCCAATCAAGGTGTGCCTCGTTCAGCTCATTCGCCATCCGATTTTCTATCATTTCTCACATTTTTCGCTCTCCGGGCTCATTTGGAACTGAATTACGAATTTTTGAAATTTTTGTAGCAAGCCCCGCCCCTATAGCACGCCCCGCCCAATTAGGGTGTGCCTGGTTCAGTTCATCCTCCAACTGATTCCTTATCGTTCCTCACATTTTCCGCTCTTCAGGCTTATTTGGAACTGAATTACGAATTTTTGAAATTTTTGTAGCAAGCCCCGCCCATCTATAGCACGCCCCGCCCAATTAGGGTGTGCCTGGTTCAGTTCGTCCGTCAACTGACTCTCTATTGTTTCCCGCATTTTCCGCTCTCCGGGCTTATTTGAAACCGAGTTACGGATTTTCAAAATAAAATTTCACTGGCTAGGGGCACGCCCCGCCCATAGTGGGCGGGGCTTAGCTCAGTTCATGCGTGTTCCGTACATCTTGGCCCATGCCCTACTCACCCACCCCTGACCCGCCCCCTCAAACTGGCTCTTCAGGTTGAACCGAATTTCCGGACAGACAGACAGACAGACAAACAGACAAACAGACGTTGCCGTTTATATATAGTAGGATTCTCTCCGCTTTTTTCTAGTGTTAATTGGTATTTGTAAACAAATGATGGGAAGGAAATATTCCTGAACCAAGAGATACACGGCGGCAGAATATCGATGAAACAGCAATTTCAGAAAATTTTTATAATGAAACTGCCAAGAAAGTCTTTAATTAAAGAACCCTCTGTGGTGATTTTTTGGTTTTCTTTTTAGTGGAGGTCACTTAGGGAAGACTGGTTTATAGAAGCGCAATCGCAGATATCTTTGTGGATGAGCAGGATGGCCGGCAAGCCAAATAGCGGGCGCCACGCTAGCGTGCTATGGGCGGGCCATTGAGACGGCGAAATTCAGTGCGACCCTGCATCTATTTGAAAGCTGTTTGGGATAACCATGCACCATTTTTTCAAGATTTGCACGATACTGGATCTCTTACTAGCGGCAGAGCCTACGTTCATTCGGACTCTCACGCCTTCTTTGGATATCGTAGCCCTCCCTACAAGGATGGAGGTTGTACCGATTCCGTAGCTCAAAAATACGAGAGGTAAGCGCCGCTCGCTCGTGAAAAGGCTGTCGCTCCGCCAACCTGTCTACCGCAACGCCGAACGTTCATTTTTTTAATTTTGCCTGACTTGTTCCACTACTAACTCTCTCCTTTTCGAATGGTGAGAGTGTGGTGACAGGAAGGAGAAAGGAGAAAGAGCTGGCATGAACAAGTGAGAACTCGTCCGACCACACCCTTTCTTCGCCTTATGCACGTACAACCCCAGGTGAACAAGGGTTTCTGTACAGGGCATCTCCCATGATATTTTTTCCTGCTTTCTCCTTCATTGCTTGATCACTTGCTACCTTGTTATTACTATCTGAACCGCATAACTTATCATTTTTTGAACGCGGGTAGCCGAATGATGACGACAGTATTTCGGCTGGGACTTTTGGAGAAGTCGACTTCTTCATAAAAATACTAACTACCAAAACTAACATGAGAGCGAAAAGTGAAGCGTATCAATGAACGAGTCATGGTAGCACCATGAGAAAGTGTTACCCTATCCTCTCAGCATCGTAGATTTTCAGATGTGGCAAGCACAGTAAGGGGTGATCATCATGCCATCGTCCTGTGTGGCACATCTGTTGCAGTATTGTTATTCTCAACGCAGTCGATAGCCAACCGTTCAACTGACATACGTCACGCATAGCCTGCAATAAGATAAGCGATTTCAGAACTGTAAGAATCTGATGTCATCACGCGCCTTATGGAGCACTGGTGATGCCGCCCACAAAGACAAGTTAATTAACTGCAAATGAAAATGAGACCTGTAGTATGCGCACACACTGATCTAGAACACTCTTCATATCCGTACGGTAATCAGTTGGAACGTCTGTACGAGAGAAATGTGCCTATAAGTCCCATTTAAGTTGCCTTACGAAAATCCCGCAAAAGGAAATTATGAAAATTGAGACAGCACAGAACGACATCTACGCATTCTAAGTACTTGTTGAATTATTGGTAAGTCTTTCACTGCGCTGTTTTGTCTTACAACTTTTCAGTAGAACTCCGCCCACTGTGCGGGTCGCCGCATTTCATCCCTCTCCCTGTGCACCATTTTACCTGTGGTATTTGGTGTTCTGAACCGACAACAGAATTTTTGAGCTCGTCTCCCCATCTCGGCGCACGCCCCGCCTACTGCGGTGGGAGCCCTGACACAACACTGACACGATCTTTTTGAAGCTGTTTTGTTATGATAACTGCTGTTTAACGCCGCAGTACGCGTTCCGAATGTTATCACAAGAATGCTGAGTTGTGGGCAAAAGTCGTGCCCCAGGCGGGAGTCGAACCCGCACCTCACGCTTTCCGGGCGAGTGCGCTATCCGTTACGCCACCAGGGCCGCTTTTACCCTCTCAGCTTAACGGCTTTTATGCCGTAGCCTTACAGCACTCACACGTTTAACTTGGTGAGCCGGTCAGCGTGTGAGTGCTGTAAGGCTACGGCATAAAAGCCGTTAAGCTGAGAGGGTAAAAGCGGCCCTGGTGGCGTAACGGATAGCGCACTCGCCCGGAAAGCGTGAGGTGCGGGTTCGACTCCCGCCTGGGGCACTTTTGCCTCACAACTCAGCACTGTGATAACTGACACGATCATCTCTCGTTGAAGGTTCCTCTCCAACGATTTTTTTGATCCTAAACTTTCCCGGGACTGAGTTATGGAAGTTGGTGGTGAGCCCTCCCGTTTCGAGTACGCCTTTTTCTCGCTTTGGCTGTCTCTTCATATCGTAGTCAGCCACATCCAGTTTTTCGCACCTCTTTGGCACCGAATTATGTACTTTGGAAGCAACACCACCCACTTTCAGCACAAATCCGTCCGCTGTTGGCGGGGTTTGGCGTACTTCGTGGGTGCTCTGTATCTTTTTGTCATGCTCTACCCCTCTCAGCAGTGACCCAACCGCAACACCGCATTCTGACAAACCTGTGCAGTCAACCTCCTTGAGGAATGCGCTTCAGAAGACAAGGACTCACCTGGAACAAAAGATGCGCTTTCGTGTGAGAAGAGTCCATAACACTTGTAGCAAATCTTATCCGCAGTTTACGCTGTAGCTGGCTGAAGAAAAACAGTGCCTAAATTCTTAATTTCAGTCCAAAACACGCGACTCACGTATTTACTACGTCCTCATTGTGCCGAACTGGTATTTCGCTGTATTCAGGAACGTGCTGAAAGATGAACCTAACAATCAGCACCAATTAATGAGTACAACTGAACGCAAAGAGGAAACACAGCCCACTCTTTGGAGCACAAATCCCGGGGTTGTCGCATGAGAAAAAATGTTCTAGGCAACTATAAAGCTGCTGCTACCTGTGCCCGCCTTACTGATTAAAAATGCGTAAGTCAACGACTCTATTCTATCGAAAGTAATTAAAGCAATAAAGAAAATATATGAAATTAATTTTCTATGAAACTTTTGATAATTTAACGACATGAAACACTAAAAACTTCTTCCAGGCGTTGCAGAGCAAAGAGAAGAGCTAGCCTACAGATGGGTGGGGATTTCATCCTAGAAAACAGGGGCTTTAAAGGCATAGTCCGCGATAAAGAGTGTGGGTGATGGTGTAGAAATACGGACGAAGATTTACCAACTGACTCTGCTTCAATCTATTGCACGGATAAAGGACCGAAAGACCGCCCGCTGGAACGAGTCCTGCTGGCTGATTCCTTGTAATGAGCTGTATGACTCTACAAGAGACAATGAAGCATCCACTTCATGCTACTTGCCCGGTAGCATTACTTTTGGCTGGAAGGCGACTTTGGAGGCGGAGTCTGGAGGCGGAGTCACTGGAAAAAGGGATGTACCACTGAAGCAACTTTGCGCCTTAATTCCTTTACCGTACAACTTTCCGCCGCGAAACTGGCACGGGTCCAACTTGGACCACACTACCATTCCCACATAACTTTTTACATTTTCATAAGTGATCGCGGACCGTTCCTTTAAGTTATAATAAGCAATTTCTTACAGATAGAGTCTTGAGCAGATCTTCGATGGTATCATCGGGGCCAAGTTCTTCCAAAAGAAACTTTATGGTTTCATGGCGAAGATAGTAAACACTAGCAATGCGACCATATGGCGAAGAACGTAGGCATCCTG